CCCCTTGCTTTTAGCCACGGTCGTGTACACTTTCACCTCCCTGGGCCGTGAGTCCGCTCGCCTCTGGAGTGGGAGGAGCGAGGTCCTCCTGCAGAGATGCTGCAGGGCAAGCCCCCTGGCCGCGGGACGTGCTCCAGTGGTCAGTGCCATGATTAATGTTCTCACCGTCTTACTTCACAGGAGGGGAAGCAGGCCCAGAGGTTCTACCCTGCGTCCTGGCAACTAACTGTTTAGAAGTTTTAAATACGTCTATGCTGGTTGCCCTGAGCACTCAGAGCCCCTCCCCCACCACTCTGTGCTTTTTCCCAAGATTCCCTGCCCATCCCCGGCCCACCAGCAGTGCCCAGGGCATCAGCGGTCTGTCATTCAGCACCTGGGACACCCCCTCTCGGGAGACAGGAAGTGGTGGAGTCTGCATTGGACAGAGGGAACTTGTGATCACAGTTGTTGGTTTACTCACTGAGCTCATGATGGGGGCAAGGTGGGGACCCGTGGTCTTTCAGCAAAAAGTCCGGGTGCCCAAGGCTTGGGCGTTTCCCATCCTGGTCCTCAGAGGCGGACCCCAGGACTGGGGCTCAGCGAGAGACTCTTTGGGGAGGAGTCAGAGTGTTGACTCTTCCTGGCAACTCAGCACCTGAAGTTGGGGGGACAGGGAGAAATGTAAAACCACCCGGCCTAACGATCAGACCCATGGCTTGTTCTTACACCCAGTGGCGGTAGGCAGGAGAATGTTTTAAAAACTGCAGCTTTTGTGAGGAGTAGGGGAGGGGGGATAGCGCTGTACAGAAAGAGAAATTCTGCGACTGGTTTGTCAATGTTTTCTTAGAAGCTACAGCCTGGAATCCCTTCTCTTAGAAGGCCTTGGTCTCCGAGAGACAGGCAGGTGTCTGTTCTGTGGGCGCAGTGTCCCTGGGTTGTCCAGGGTGGCAAGGGCCGGCATTGCAATGAATGTCCCAGGGCCCTTCTCTCCTGGAGGTCCTGCTGGAGAGACCAAGTGACGCAGGACAGTGTCTTCACTGGGCCAGAAGCCAGTGCCCGAGCCCTGGCCAGCACTTCAGAGGAGCCCTGCCCCATCCCCACGGCCCTGGGTGGTCCGGCCAAGCCTCAGCGAAGCTGGAACTCTAGGGTCCCTGCCACCAACTCAGTGGGTAGAGAGTAAAAAGTGTGTTGAGGGACCTGTGTCTTGGTCATATATGTGTGTACCGGGGCCTGGCTTGGTCTTTTTTTTTTTTACATGGAATTGAGTTGTGGTGAGAGTGCCAAGGTCTAGGTCAAGGTCAGAGCCATGGGGATACCTCCATTCTTTTCCTTTTGCTTCCTTGATCTTACAGAAAAGAATTAGTTAGAATACTGCTTCTCTGCCTGCTAAACTATGAGAAGTCCTTACACCAGACCCTAGAAGGGGCCCAGCTCCCAGCTCCCAGCTCGGTGGGTCAGAGGCAGGTCTACCCCTCCCCCCAGGCAGAGGAAGCCACAGCCCCCCGCAGCCCAGGGCGTTGGTGTGTGTGTGGTCTGGTCCCGCAGATGGACCCCCCACCCTTTCCCATCGGGGGTGGGTAGTGATCATAAATTCCATGAAGGCAGAGACTGTGTATGTTCAGTTCACAAGCCCAGTGATGAGAACAGTGTCTGGCACATGGTGGGTACTCAGTTACTATTTGTTGAGAGGGCAGGGGGCTGAGGAAGGGTCTGGAGTCATGGCGTTCCCTGCAGAAGCTCCAGGTGGGTGAGGTACTGTGGGCTCCAGCTCTGTTGAGCGGTAGAAAGATGCCGGGAGAAGAAAAGGAAGCTTGCAGGGCCCGAGTCCCCAGAGAGCGCTGTGCTTCCTCCTCCCAGAAGAGCCCCAGCACGGAACAGGCAGTCCCTGAAACCGAGTTCTCAGCTCCACCTGTGCTCTTGGCATTCCCTGGGGAGCTTTGAAAGTTTCTGCTGTCCCGGCTGTGCCGCAGAGTGAGCATTTCAGCATCTCTGAGGGCTGGGTCCAGGCATCAGTACTTTTCAAGCTCCTGGGAGATTTCAGTGCGCAGCCCGGTTTAGAATGGGCGGAGGAGTTGCCATGGAGGTCGGTCGTGGCCTGGAGCAGCGGCGGGTAGGTGAAGGTGCTCACTCTTTGAGGGGCCATAAGGCAGCTCTGGGTGCCTCCTGCTCTCCCTTCTTTCTCCACAGCCCTCGGCTCCACACTGTGAGCTAGAGCCAGGCCAGGATGAGACCGAGGGCCATTGCCTAGCTGCAGAGTCAGTCACCAAGAGCAGATCAGAAGCTGCAAAGTGCCATGTGGGGGTGGGAGGCTGGCTTCACCCCACTCTGGTCCTCGGGGCATGGTGACGGCAGGCACTCTGGTTTGCTCCCTGAGCACCTCCACGTCAAAAGGAATCCGGGCAGACACACACCTTCCATTCCGGGCACCGCGTCCTTGGTCTGCACATGCCCTTCTGGGAATTTATTTTCTTTTGTTTCCAAATGATGCTCCGCGGTTTCCTGTTTTATGCTTCTGCAACCCTTTCCTCCAAACAGAGGCTCCCTAACAACAAAACATTATAAAACCTCACAAGGTTTTTATAACAGTGTACCTTCCCTTCATCCCCATGGAAATGTCTAAAGATTGTGTATTATCTAAACACTAAACCAAACAGCAATTGCATCAAAAAAGTATGTATTTGGGGCAGTGTCTGCGCCATGCCTCTGCCGTAGGCGCCAGTGCCCTGGGGGCTCTTGGCCGCAGAGCCCGTCCCCCCCGGAAGAACAGGGAGGACGGGGACCAGGCCCCAGCGGTGGAGGGGCTCCCCCTCTCCGTGCCCAGCAGACCCGGCCTTCTCCTTGGCCTCTCCACCCCCCTCTCCAGAGGGTCGTTAGCCAGGCTCCAGATGGTGCCCATTTTCCCAGCAGAGGGCCGGGCATTTCCAGCCCACACTCCCCTGCAGCCCGGTCCCCAGCAGCAGCCCCCGCCTGTCTCCTCTGTCCCAGGGTCTCCATGGGAAGGGTGATGTTGGAATCTTCGGTGAATGTCAGACTTACTTCTCAAAAGGAAATCGGATTTCTGTTTTGAATGCCAGGAACTGGGGGTGGGAGGGGCATGTGTTTGTTTTTTGTTTTCTCCGTGTAGACATATATCTGCCTCCTTGTAGGCTGAATTTTACAGCTCGATCGTGTGACTGTGTCCCTTTGGTTATCAACTGCCCCTCTTCATGCCCCCTGTTCTGCTCTGGGCCCCTGGGTCCTTCCTCTCCAAATACGCCCCATTCAGTGTTTTCTCCTCTCACCCCCTTGCAGCCTCTGCCCTCACTTCCTGCACAGAGGATGAAAGCTGTGGGTTTTCTTTTTTAAAAAACTAGAGCGGTCACACTGGGCAGGCCTGCCCAGGACGCGGGAAGGGTCCCGGGCCAGCCAGATGGCAGGTAGTGGCAATTGTAAACTCAGGACATGTTTCTTCCATCCTGGGTGACAGGTTTCTTTTGGTTGCTTCCAGCAACCAAAGTTGGGGTGTGATAAAGGAGCCCAGACGGCTGCCCCTTCACAAGCAGAAGCTGGGCCGCCCCTTCCTGCGTGGGCCGGGCAGGCTGTGTTGAGGAGGGGCCCCCTGCTCATTCCCAGCTGCAGATGGGGATGGTCAGCTCTCACTCAGGGTGGCGGGGTGCTAGGGCAGCTGTGGGCAGTTGTGGAGCAGGGTATACGCGGGACCAGGGAACCAGGGCCCCTGCCACAGCTTTGCTTTGAGCCGCAGCCCAGTGAGAAGCCCTGCGCCCTGCAGACCTTGTGCCTAGTTCCCCGTGGTCTGTCCCTGAATCCCCTGCCCAGGTGGTTCTTTCCTTGACAGCCCAGACACCCTGTCCCTGTCCCTGTCCCTTCAAAAATAAAATAAGAGGTCTTTTTCAGGGAGCTAGCCTGCCACAGGTGACCCCTGGCCCCTCGGGGTCTGGGGAGAGGTGCTGCAAACGCGACCACGAGCCAGTTGGCTGCTCCTCTTTGCTCTTCCAGATCCAGCCCTGGAAGGCACCTTTCCACTGGGTACATGAGCTGGGGCAGCCCCACCCCCAACACACCTGCCCGCTGGCGCATGCCGTTCCTGGTTCTGTGCTTGCCCATCTCCTACAAGGCCAGCCACCAAGGGAGCCCTTGGGTCCTGGAAACAGCATCAAGGGCTTATCTTCCAGGTCACCTGGACAGCACATTTGGGGTGACCAGTGAGCCGCAGATGGATGGCAGGGAGCTGGGGACGGACAGGCCATGTGGTAGGGGCTGTGGCCCTGTGCTGTGTGAGGGCCGTGGGCTCCCTCCCCAGCCCTGCGTCCCCACCTGTCACCCTGTTCAGCCGAGTGATGCTTGAGATTAAATTCCAGCCCTTAGCAGTGCAGATGCTCAGTCTCCAGCAGGAGCCTTTATCTGAGATTAAGGATAACGGATCTCCTTGGATACGTTTTCCCCTTCCTCTTTCTCTTGGACTGTTTGTCCAGAGTGTGCTTAACTCCAGCAAATAGACTTTTTGTTAACAGTCTTTTTATTGACTCGATGCCCCCCTTCCAGTTTTGTCTCGCTGCCTCCCCCCACACACACATTCCCACAACCACCACCACCACCGCCTTCTGCTTCCAGGGGGCACTTCCGGTTCGGCTGCCTGTGAGAGAGCGCCCAGGGGTAACTCCACCTTCCTCCTCCCCTCACCTGCCGCCTCCTCCTCCAGGACGCCCTCCTCCCTGCCTGCGGGGAGCCTGGTGAACTGACATTGGGACAGGGAGAAATAACTTGATTTCTTCCTTATTTTCCTTCAGCACATTCCGCCAGCACCCACATCTTCAGAAATCTAGCTCCTGCCTGGAAGAAATGGGGAGAGGACTTGGTGGGGGCACCCCTTCCTTGGTGTTCGGCGGTGGCGGGGGGGGGGGCAGCCTCCAGGCCCGTGCGTGTCCTGCGGTCTTCCTGGGAGCTGGGAGACCGCCTCCGGCAGCCAGGGTCCACCACGTGCGTTTATTTCACCTGGATCTTTCTTTTTCCCCCTCCAACAGCCCTATTACCATATTTAAATGCAAGTATGTCTCTTTTCATTGGCATTTTAAGTAGCTTAGCCTGACCTTCTTAGAGTAGTTCATTCCCTTTTGAACTTCTTTCCTCCCAGTAGTTCGTGTAGCTAGGACGGTAGTCTTAGAGTTTAGTGGGCTTCTAGTTTCCTGTTTGGGGAAGCCTCTCCTCTCCTTTCCCTCCTCCCCTGCTCCCTGCCGTCCGTGCTGCATGTCCCCCCCTCCCTGACTGTGTGAAGTGCTGCCGGCTCTGGCACGCCATCGGAAACCACAGTCTCTGGAAATGGGTCCTGGGGTCACCCTCCAGGTGTCTGCCTGGATGGAGAGGTGTCTGGTCACAGGTGGGAGTGTATCTGTGTGTGTCCCAGTGCGTGGCTGCGTGTGCACATGCTAGTGGTCCAGGGAAGCCCAGGGGAGGGGACTCTCCCCCCCTTCCTTTCCCCAGACTGCAGTGGGTCACCTCGTCCTTCTGACTTTCAGTCCCATGGCTGGGACGGCCTTGCTGCCTGGGGTGTCACTATCAGTAGACAGCACGTGCACTGATCTGGAAGCTTTCCAAGAGCACGGGGACTTGGTCGGGACCCCTCGGAGACCCTGCAGCGCCGGCTTCAGCCGGAGTGGTGGAGCGCAGACAAAAGAGCCAGATCTAAGTCCCACCCCTGTGCCTCCGGAGGCTGGAGCACAGAGAGCGAGAGAAAGCCTCAGGGCTCGCCGGGAGTAGGTCCCGCAGCCCCACACTGGCTCCCACGGCTGGCTTCACGTGCACTCGGCCCACCCAGCCCCCAGGTGCTTCGCCCTCGGGCCTGGCGTGGCGACACTGCTGGCGTGGCCCAGTCTGCAGCACAGACAACCGTGCACACGGGCAGAGCCTTTGGAGAGCAGCTAGAGTTAAGCTGTCTCCTGGCCAAGGCATCTGTTCTCATGCTTATCCCGTCTCAATTCCATGCATCTTGTCCATGACTCTGGGCGACCGCTCCCTGTGGGCAGCCCAGCCCTGCTCGGTGCTGCCCCAGAGGAGTCCTGGGGAAATGACCAGGTACAAAGGCGGCAGGAAGCCCGCCCCAGCTTTCAAGAGGCATGGCTCCCAATCCTCTGCCTTCTAGAACCCGATTCCGGGGTGACAGATGCACAAGCATCACACACCCCCAGGTGTGCTGTGCCTTCCAGAATCCTGAAAGCGACTGATCTGTGTCTCCAGCCCCCAAAAGCTGACCCTTGGAGATGCCTTTCCACCTGTGTGTGGAGGGTGGGGGTGTGGCCTGTGAGACAGGGCTGTCCTGGGCCCTCTGCAGGGTCCCCCCTGACTCTGCTCCTCTCTCTCCACCAGGCTTCCCGGCAGCGGCTTACGGACCAGTGGCGGCGGCGGCAGTGGCGGCAGCGAGAGGATCAGGTAGGAAGGTGTATGGCACAGGTGGCACCCAGGCATGCCCCAGTGTGCAGGGGAAGGTGACGGCCCTGCTGGGTCTGTGCGGCTGCATCTGTCCACCACTCTCACCACAGCCCAGAGGGTGGGGACAGGGAGGCTCGGGCCAGGCCCCGCCACCCAGGGCACCTCCCAGCCAGGGTCGGTCCCAGAACTGCAAACCCAGGGTAGATTATTATTCTGTCTCTGAAAAAAAAGAAAGGAAAAATGAATTGCTTTTTGACTTTGCACGGCCCCTTCCCCTGACAGCCAGCTTCAGGGCACCCACGGTCATTTCCCTCCTTGGCTTTTGCCGGTTCACAAGGCCCCCTCCTCGAGCCTCGGGCACGGCCAGAGGAGGTCCAGGTTGTCAAAGGGAAGCTCAGAGCTCACCCACGTGTTCCCCGCCTTAGAAGCCACCGGTCCTTTCAGCTCCCGCTGCCCCTGGCAGGTGGGTCTGCTAGTCCAGCTGAACCCCAGGTCCCCCAAAGGCCAAGAGGGTGGCCAGCCCTGACCTCAGAGAATGAGCTGCAATTTCCCGAGCTCCCTGTTGCCTCTCAGACACTCTCAGCAGAGATAAGAGAGCCTCTGGACTCCGCTGCCAAGGGGAGTGAGGTTTTCTCTCCCGTGAGGTTGCCGGTCCCTTGGTCTCCAAATCCAACCTTGCAGGAGGTCTGGAACCCCTCACATGAGGTGGGAGCATTTTCCCAGTGGCACTGTGGGGTCGGGCCTTTGTCACTCCCTGACCCCCAGGTGCTCACTGCCTTTCTCAGCCAGCAGGGCTCCTGTGGGGTGCTGGACCCCCAGGAAAGCCTCCTGGCCTGCCCACACCATAGCCACCCAGAGGCCCCTCTTCCCTAAGCCGCGGTTTACAGCTGTCCCCCACCCTGTGGACGGGGCGCTGGAGCATCAGGGAGGTGACTAGTTTGATGTAACAGGGCTCCGAGGAGGGTGGGGGTGGGAGGTGCTGGGGAGGGGACCAGGAAGTGGGGCATGAAAAAAGCCCAGGGGCAAATGCCAAAACCCAAACCCTCTGTGACAAGGCCCATTGGAAACGTCAGTGAAAGTCCGTTCCATGCAAACTGGCACTGCCTCAAGCTACAAAGGATCCACTCCTGTGAATCGCCCCCTGGGGGTGTATTTGGAGGGGCTGGGGACTTCTCAGAGGTGGCTGAGAGGCAGCTTGCCAGAGAGCCGGGCGGACTGGCTGGTGGGTCCAGAGCGCTGGGCGCCCTTCCTCAGCGTCCACCTGCCCTGGCGACCTCCGAGGGCCGCCCTGCCCTCTGGCCAGTGTCCCTCGGTGCCCTGCCTTGGGGGCAGGGTGCACAGCTGCCTTGGCCACCCTGCCCCGACTGGCTTTTTAACGTGAGCGCTTTATGAACGAGCCCCCATCCTACCTGTGCCTGGTGGGAGGGGACGGCGAAGAGAAAAGCTGGGATTTTTGAGTGTTACTGGTTTTGTTTTCTCCGTTCAGTTTCTTTCTTATTATGACTTGGATTATGAAACTAAACTTTAACCTGAAATTAACCCTGCCTCTCTCCCCACCCCCACTCTCCCCAACCTCATGGCAAGTTTAAAGGGCAGCATGGGGTTCTTTGTGAGTCCAGCCGTCTCCCGTTGTCTGGGCCCCCTTCCACCCCCTCCCCTCTCCCAGACCCCCACAGCCAGGCGGGAGCCCCACCCACCCCTCTAACCCTAACCCCAAAAGGTCAGAGCCATCTCCAGCCACATGTTTTATTTCCCAGGATCAGTGGTGTTTTATTTGTAGCCATTTCCATCGGGAGCGAAGTCTCCCATAGGCCGTCCTGGGTCGGCCATGCTCATCGCTGCACTGTTAGTGAATGCTATTCAGGAGTGTGCGCCCAGACCGCCTGCCCACACCAGCCTGCCAGAGCAGGGAGTAAATCCTCAACTCCGAGGTGTTGCCTCGCCCCAGGGGGCAGGCTCATCCAGGAAGCTACAGGCACCCTGCAGTGCTGCCTCGGGTCAGGGGCTGGGGGCATCCCCCCGGGCAATGGCTAGACTGTTCCTGCCAGAGTCAGGGCACCCCCGGGTGGAAGGCACCTGTGTGAACGTGCACGGGGTGGCCCCCACCGCTCCCTCCCTTTGGACCTGGAGCAGGCTTACAAGGTTGGGGAAGGAAGATCTCTGCCTTTCTCTCTTCTGGTGAACTTTGGCCTGTGAGGACTGTCCCCTCCCTCTTTTAGAAAATGGTCTGGCCTCCCTGCCGGGTGGCCCTTTTATTGACCTGTTTGTAGTGGCCCCTCGGTGGCACTTCAGCAGGGATGGGAGAGGGCCACACAGACGAGTTGGGGTGATGCTTCAGCACAGGCTCACCAGGGACTGATGGTTCTTCCTTCACCCACTCCTGCAACCCTGCACCCCTGCACCCCGTCCAAGCTCCTTCCTGGGGGTAGGGGTGCTCCTTCAGCCTCCCAAGCCAGAGCCAACAGCCGTGGCCATCGGAGGGAGTCCCCAGTTCAGGTGCACTCCCTCATCGGGAGCAGCTGGTGCAGGGAGACTGGGGAGTACCAGCCTTGAGCTTGGTACCTACTGGACCTGGCAGATTGACTCAAAGCAGCGGGCAAGGCGGCCTCTGCCCCCCAGGGCTTTCGGGCGTGGGTTAGGGATTAGGCATCGCACAAAAGGCCCTTTTTTGTCTCGCATTTTTGTCCAGCCCCACAGTTTGTTTGGGTTCTTTTTCCTTTCATTGTGAGGTGCTGGAGCACCTGCTGAGGGCCGTGGGCATAGGAAGCCGCTTCAATTTTGTTCCAGTTGGCAGCTCGCATCCGTCAGGGCTCCGGTGTCAGGGTAGGAGGTCCGGGGGGCCTTGAGCTCTGCACCCACCTCAGCCAGCTCCTCTGGGCCAGCCTGCCTGCCTTTTCCTAAGTCACCCAGGACCTGAGGGGAGCAGGGCGCAGGGCTCCCCACCAGGGAGGGCCCTGCCGACTCCTAGATAACTTCACTATCAGTGGTCACCTTTCTTTCACCTTCACCTGGCGGTTTAAAACGTCATCTTCGCTTGTGCTCAGTCGAGAGTTTGTTTGTTTATTTTGATCGTGTTCATCCAGTTCCAGTGGCCCCATCACGTCCCTCCCCAACCTCAGTCCTGTTTGGCCAAGGACTCCCCACCACAGGCAAGGGCAGTGGTTGGGGTTTTCAGGCTAGTTTATTTCTGGGTGCCATCACAGATGGGTCCGTGTGTCAGCCTCAGAGCTTCGGAGCCCCCTGCCCTCCCCCCGCCCGTCTCCGGCCCCAGCCAGGACCCCTTACTGTACTTTACACTTGCCAGCTTTCCGCCCATGCAGTAGCGTGGGCTTCTGACGGTGGGGGTGAGTGCGAGAGTCATGTTTCTGTTCTTTTCTCTTGCTTGGTTGGGGCTGCGGTGAGAGAGTGTCTCTGAGGCATACTTTCCCGCCTCTCTTACACTAGGATCTGCACACCTCCTCTCAAACACTCTTCTGAACACGCTCAGCGGGAAGGTTTGTCCACACCTATTAATCCTCTCTCAGTGTCCAGCTTCCTGTTAGTACCAGCTGGTTTGCATGTTTTTGCTTGTTCAGATGAAACAGTTCAAGAAACAAACTCATATCCAACTCTCGAGAAATGTCTTTTTTTTTTGTACTTTCGTTTTCGATTTTTTTTTATTAGTTACAACTCCAAAACACCTGTTGTCCAGTAAAACATTTCACACCCCCTGCCTGTTCTTAGATTGTATGTATCTGTGGGACTGAACTAAATGCATGCACTGTAGTCGATGTACTGGTAGCTGTAGCTGTTAGTTGTAGAACATGCATTGTCGAGTTGATATTACAGGGCCTCCGACGGCACGGCCCAGAGGTCTGCAGGGTAGCGTGGGGGGCCAGTGGGGGAAGGGGCTCCATTTTCAATGTCGCCAAGGGGCTTGGATCCATGTTCTCGCCATCAGCCACCACCACCTCCTCCTCACTCCCTGCTCCCCCAGTCCAGAGCTGGGTCACCACCCTCCCTCCTGAGGCCTCTGTGGCAGGGTCAACCGCAGGGAAAGAGAGTGGAACCAAGATTGGAAGGAGTCCGCACCTTTTTCCTTGTTCTTATCTTCCTCGTACAGCTCTTGAACACAGCAGATCTTTTCTAATGGCTTAGGGGTTCCGGCAAGGCTCCCTCGAGCCCTTTGCTGGCTCCCATTCAGCCCTTCAGGGAGATGGTCTGTCCAGCAGCCCGGCCTACGCAGCCTCCTTCCTGGGCTGCAGGGGAAATGAGACCTGGTGGGGACAGGAGGAAAGATCCGAAGATCCTCAGTCTGCAGACGGGGATGCATTTGGTCCCAGACAAGGTCGGCACTGGTTCTCACGGTTGGCGAGGGTGAGGGAGAAGCCTGGAGATGAGCCCCCCAGGGGGTGGGACCAGCAAGTGAGACTGGCAACCATGGAGATTACTGGCCTGGGGGGGGGGGGGGCTGTCGCTGTCAAAGAGTTGCTTTCCTCCAGCTCCCCCAAGGGCTTCCCGGTCCTGCTGCCTTTGCCCCAGCTCAGGCAGGTGTGCCAGCAGTCAATTTTGGACACACTCGTGCCTGTATTTGTGGTGATGAGCCATAAAGGGGTGCCAGAGGCCTCTCAGAGCTTTTGGAGATGTCCCTAATCTATGATGGGAGACAGAAGTCCAGGAAGTCACAGAGTCTGCAGCCCCCATGAGTGTGAAGTGACAGAAAAATGGCAGCTCCGTGTGGAAGTTGGTAGCAGGCTGGGTCACCAGGGATTGGACGTGAGCAGGCCAGTCGGCTGCACGAGGGCCCCGAGGCCCAGGAAGGAAGTCTGGGAAGTGCCATCCTCCTGGCTTGGCCTTTCTGGGTGGGTGTGGGGGTCGGGGAGGGCGCAGAGAGAAGGTCTGGGACTGTGAGGCTTTGGGCGGCAGAAGCTGCAGATGGACCCAGACTGGGGAGGAGAAGAGGGTGAGGACAGAAGGCAGGAGGAGCAGGAAGTCTCCTCAACTGACCTGAATCCTAAGTC